TGAGTATATACAATTGGCAAGGTTGATGTACACTCAATTGTGCTTTGTATCACTTGCCTGCTTGATAATGGTGTTCGTATCTACACCGAAACGTCGAGCTCATTGCAATAACAAAGCTGACTATCCACTGTAGTGTCAAATTTATCAATCCAGGCCATATGACAAAAATCGGAAAATACAAACTTTGACAAGACTTGTGTTTCTTAGTCCAACAGAAACTACTTTCCCCAAGATAAACATTGATACTTGTCCAAGTAAAAAACCCTATATGTGAGAGGTCATCAATGTTGTAACATATGATCATTAAAATGTTTGGAAAGTTGGCATCAATGAGTTGAGGTCATGGTTTAGTCTTGGTCAAAATGTTCGTCAAAAATGGTTTGTCTAAAAGGTCTAGCTTCAAGCCTTGTAAGGCCAAATGTGCTCAGGAACAGCAGGGGTGGAAATAACCCAGTGCCCTACGTCCGAGTCCAGTGTTTTTTTCTGTTGGGCAAGCAAATTTGTATATCACACTGTACCGGTGTCCAGTTGACTTTCCAATGTTAACAAGGAAACATTGTGTCCAGGGACACGGATGCCCCCGCTGACATTCATAAGACATATAAAGATCAATAATTGAACAAAATTCACGAACAAGTTCAATAAACATCTATGCAACTATGACATGCACACCTTTTGAGTCTCAATGAAACACATGTATAAGCTTAATCAATTCTGTTGAGCAGTTTTTGTGGAGAAGTTGATAGACTTCATCCCCTATAACACTATATTCAGAGAGAAATTCAACAAAATTTATGCAAGTTTAAACGGCATTAAAATTGGAAAAATAAATAAAATACAAAATCAAAATATGAGATGCACACCTTTAGAGTCCCCATAAAGCACATGTGTAATCTAAAAGAATTCCATAAAGTAGTTTTTGAGGAGAAGTGGATAACGTACACACCCTGTTGTATGGGACAAACTGGATGAATAGAACCAAATTCAACTAAGTTCAAACATCTGTAGAAGTGACAAAATTAAGAAATTGGATGAACAAGGTATGAGATGCACACCTTAAGAGTTCCAATGAAACACACGTAGAAGCTCAATCAATTCTGTTGAGCTGCTTTTGTGGAGAAGTGGATAGACTTCACCCCCTACAACACTATATTCAGAGAGAAATTCAACAAAATTGATCTAAGTTCAAACGGCATTAAAATTGGAAAAATAAATAAAATACAAAATCAAAATATGAGATGCATGCCTTTAGTGTCCCTATAAAGCACATGTGTAATCTAAAAGAATTCCATAAAGTAGTTTTTGAGGAGAAGTGGATAACGTACACCCCCTGTTGGATGGAACGAACACTGGCTGAATAGAACAAAATTCAACTAAGTTCAAACATCTGTAAAAGTGACAAAAGTAAGAAATTGCATAAAAAATTATGAAATGCACACCTTTAGAGTCCCTACAAAAAGACATGTAGATTCAGTTCCGCTGAGCAATTCTGTTAGAGAAATCATCATATTAGAAATTCATCATAGAGAAATTCAGCAAAATGTACCTAAGTTCAATGTCTCTAAACTTACCAAAAAACCCAATAAAATAAAAAAACAAAATATGAGATGCACACCATTAGAGTCCCAAGAAAGCCCATGTATAAGTTCATTGAATTCCACAGAGTGGTTATGGTGGAGAAGTGGATAGAATACATTCCCTGTTTCGTACGGACAGACGGACGGACGGACACCGAGGGTAACCTTATATGCCCCTGCCATATTTATGGCGGGGGCATAATTATGTTGTTTAGTTTAAAAAATCAACAAGAAAAAGTACGGTGGAAAAATTATCAGGGCAAGTGATTTTTCATGTGCCACTGTTCCAGAGTACACTAGCAATTTGAAAGTTATTTCCACCCCTGAACTGTTCAGCTAAGGCCAAAGATAACTTTAAAATTTGGTGGCAAAGTTGTCTGAATAAACAGTTCTTCTTCAGGCTCGATTCCCTGTTGAAAGTTCAACCCAGTCCAAATATTGCACATTAAACATAATGAGAAACTTCAGCCTTGCCCTATATTTACCCACTTTGGTCTGTGAAGAAGTTTCGATGCAAAGAAATCCAGCCTTGACCAAAGTTTACCTGAGTATATATCTGTTTTAACATCTGTGTCTGTTATTTATATCTTTGAGTCAGAGTCAGTCCACTATCACCTGACTGTGAACACCACAAGTACAAACACTCTGTACATAGAACTTGTGTACTCAGCAATACACAGACCATGTGTACCCAACGTGGGAACAGCCCTGTGAGAAGGGACTGTCCTATACCCTCAGACCGAGGGTAGTCCAAATGGGTACATATATACTTGATAACCTCAAACTTAGCTACATCTGGTTTTCACAATATTTCACAAACATTACTTATCTAAAACATTTGTTCCATGAAAAATTAAATGACATTAAGCTACAGTGTAGGATTAAGTGAGGTGAGATGAGGTGAGGTGAAGTAGGATTAAGTGAGGTGAGATAAGATGAGGTAGGATTAAGTGAGGTGTGGTGAAGTAGGATTAAGATTTGTGAGGTGAAATTAGGTGAGGTGAAGTAGTATTAAGTGAGGTGAGATGAGTTAAGTTAAGTAGGATTAAGTGAGGTGAGTTAGGATTAAGTGAGGTGAAGTAGGATTAAGTGAAGTGGGATGATTTGAGATAGCATTATGTGAGGTGAGGTGAAGTAGGATTAAGTGAGGTCAGATGAGTTAAGGTAAAGTAGGATTAAGTGAGGTGAGTTAGGTTTAAGTGAGGTGAAGTAGGATTAAGTGAAGTGAGATGATTTGAGGTAGGATTAAGTGAGGTGAGGTGAAGTAGGATTAAGTGAGGTGAGATGAGGTGAGGTGAAGTAGGTTTAAGTGAGGTGAGGTGAAGTAGGATTAAGTGAGGTGAGATAAGATGAGGTAGGATTAAGTGAGGAGAGGTGAGATGATGTAGGATTAAGTGAGGTGAGGTGAAGTAGGATTAAGTGAGGTGAGGTGAGATTAGGTGAGGTCAAATAGAATTAAGTGAGGTGAGATGAGTTGAGGTAGGATTAAGTGAGGTGAGGTGAGGTGAGGTAAGATTAAGTGAGGTGAGATGAGGTGAGGTGAAGTAGGATTAAGTGAGGTGAGGTGAGGTAGGATTAAATGAGGTGAGATAAGATGAGGTAGGATTAAGTGAGGTGAGGTGAGATGATGTAGGATTAAGTGAGGTGAGGTGAGATGATGTAGGATTAAGTGAGGTGAGGTGAAGTAGGATTAAGTGAGGTGAGGTGAGATTAGGTGAGGTCAAATAGAATTAAGTGAGATGAGTTGAGGTAGGATTAAGTGAGGTGAGGTGAGGTAAGATTAAGTGAGGTGAGGTGAGTTAAGATTAAGTGAGGTGAGATGAGTTGAGGTAGGATTAAGTGAGGTGAGGTGAGGTGAGGTAGGATTAAGTGAGGTGGGATGAGTTAGGATTAAGTGAGGTGGGGTGAGGTAGGACTAAGTGAGGTGAGATGAGTTGAGGTAGGATTAAGTGAGGTGAGGTAGGATTAAGTGAGGTGGGGTGAAGTGAGGTAGGACTAGGTGAGGTGAGGTGAAGTAGGATTAAGTAAGGTGAGATAAGATGAGGTAAGATTAAGTGAAGTGAGGTGAGTCGAGGCGGGGTTCTCTCAACATTGCCATTAGGAATCAAAGATGAGCTATGATACTGTTTCAGGGTGTTTTTATTAGATGTTTGCACCACAATGACATCAGAACCATTTAATTGAAATCAAGGTCTTACACCTGTGCTTAATAAAAAAACACTACCAACTAAATCTGTCTGTTTTTAGGACAAATGATTTATTACAATTACAGTATTGATTTTAACTCGTAAAAGCAAAAATCTGTTACCGAGCATAAAAAGTTACAAATTCAAAATGAAGTGCACAGGGTTCAAAATAGGCAGAAATAAAAAAAATAGAAACTCGTAAAAAGATGAATGAAAGAAAAAACACAACATAGAGTATGTTTCAGCACTGTTTACGCTCCCTTGAAAATATCAACTAATCCACATCTATATTTAACCCGGATCTTGGCTCAACACGACACAGTGTGGTCGACTGTGACGTTGAGTGTCCTTCAGCTGATCAGTCAAGCAGACACATTGAGTTGGAGACACCCAATTGGTTGACAACGCGTCACCTGTAAACTCCCGCATGTGCGACAAGTCGTCTTCCAGCAAGCATATGTTTATTAGGTGAAACAAACCTATGCACTGTGTGTTTTGTACAGTGTAGTCAAAATCTACAGATAATATTTCAATGATTTCAATTACATTGTGCAGGTGAAAAAACATCAGTTGTATTAACAACATAAACATAAACAGATGACAAGATATTAAAATCATCCAGAAATGAGTTGTATTTATGCTAATAATTATACGCATAAATAATAGTTTAGCTTTCCACTTATTTTAGGCAACACAGCCTCTTTAGAAAGTAACGAAACATAAAGCATTTTGTTCTAGTAAAAACGATACAGTTTGACAATTAGCTTTTCTAAATAATTCATCATTGTTGCAGATCTTATATAAATGGGTAAATTATGAAAACATCTGCCCCATTCTGAACAAAACTGAAGGAAATAGGGAAAAAGAATCCAGACATAGATATCGCTTTACAGAGAATATGTGACAGTGCCTGGCATAAACTGAATATCAAAAGCTTACCTGGACATAAACAGTAGCAATGCAGTCTGGAGAGTAGGTAAGTGAATATGTAACACATCTCTTATATATAGCCATACTTGTCAATCAGCCAATCACACAGCTGTAAAATATCTAAGCTCCACCCACACTGTTGTGACATTATCAACAGTGTTGAAGCAGTGACAAGGTGATATAATGAGCTTGTGGGGGAACACCTGGGAGGGGGAAGGGGACTGACGTGTATGTTGAAAAACCAAGCAGGATATGAGGTTAAAGCTTCACGTAGTGTTTCGCTATTCATGTGCTTTGATAGTGGTTATCATTTGTGGTAAAGATTTATATGGGATTGTGGTAAAGATTTGGGTTGGAGAAGAGATTTAAATAGGGTTTGCAACTTGCATAAGGGACGTAGATTGAGGACAGGATCAAGATAGGTATAGGGTGGAGATTGGGGTGGGGTGGGGTGGAGACTGGTGTAGGGGTGGCGACTGGGGGTAGGGGTGGAGACTGGGGTAGAGGTGGAGACTGGGGTAGGGGTGGAGACTGGGGTAGGGGGGAGACTGGGGTAGGGGTGGAGACTGGGGTAGGGGTGGAGACTGGGGGTAGGGGGGTGGAGACTGGGGTAGGGGGTGGAGACTGGTGTAGGGGGGTGCAGACTGGGGTAGGGTTGGTGACTTGGGTAGGGGTGGAGACTGGAGTAGGGGTGTACACTGGGGTAGGGGGTGGAGACTGGGGTAGGGGTGGAGACTACAGGGGCAGGGGTGGAGACTAGGGGTAGGGTGGGGACTGGTGTAGGGTGTACACTGGGGTAGGGGTGGAGACTGGGGTAGGGGTGGGAACTGGTGTAGGGGGTGGAGACTGGGGTAGGGTGGAGACTGGGGTAGGGGTGCAGCAGACTGGGGTAGGGGGTGGTGACTTGGCTAGCAGGTGTGAGACCGGAGTAGGGGTGTACACTGGGGTAGGGGTGGAGACTGGGGGTAGGGGTGAGAGACTGGTGTAGGGGTGGAGACTGGGGTAGGGAGGTGGGAACTGGTGTAGGGGTGGAGACTGGGGTAGGGGTGGAGACTTGGGTAGGGGTGGAGACTGGGGTAGGGGTGGAGACTGGTGTAGGGGTGCAGACTGGGGGTAGGGTTGGTGACTTGGGTAGGGAGTGTAGACTGGAGTAGGGGTGTACACTGGGGTAGGGGTGGAGACTGGGGTAGGGGTAGGAACTGGTGTAGGGGTGGAGACTGGGGTAGGGTGGAGACTGGGGTAGGGGTGGAGACTGGGGTAGGGTGGGGGTGGAGACTGAGGGGTAGGGGAGACCTGGGGTAGGGGTGGAGACTGGGGTAGGGTGGAGACTGGTGTAGGGGTGCAGACTGGGGTAGGGTTGGTGACTTGGGTAGGGGTGGAGACTGGAGTAGGGGTGTACACTGGGGTAGGGGTGGAGACTAGGGTAGGGGTGGGAACTAGGGGTAGGGGGTGGAGAACTGGGGTAGGGGGTGGAGACTGGACAGTAGGTGTGGAGACTGGGGTAGGGTGGAGACTAGGTCCAGGGGTGGGAACTGGTACACCGGGCTAGGGGGTGGAGACTGGTAGGGTAGGGTGGAGACTGAAGGGTTGGGGTGGAGACTAGGAGTAGGGGTTGGTGACTTGGGTAGGGGTGAGACTGGGTAGGGTGTGATACACTGGGGTAGGAGTGTGGAGACTTGGGTAGGGGTGGGAGACTAGGGGTAGGGGTGGAGACTGGGAAGTGGGTAGTGGGTGTGGAGACTGGGTAGGGGTGGGAACTGAAGTAGGGGGTGGAGACTGGGATAGGTAGTGGGTGGGAGACTTGGGTAGGAGTGGAGAACTGGGTAGGTGGAGACTTGGGTAGGGGTGGAAACTGGTGTGAGACTTGGGTAGTGGGTGGGAGACTAGAGGTAGGATGGAAACTGGTGTAGAGGGTGGAGACTGGGGTAGAAAGGAGATGGAAGACTAGGTGTAGGGAGGTGGGGAACTAGGGATAGGATGGAGACTGGGACTTAGGGGTGGGAACTAGGGTAGGGATGGAGAACTGGTGGGGGGTGGAGACTGGGTCAGGGATGGAAACTGGTGTAGGGGTGGGGAGACTGGTAGGAGTAGGGTAGGGGATGGGTCAGGTGGAAACTGGTGTAGGGGTGGAGACTGGGTCAGGGATGGAAACTGGGGTAGGGGTGGAGATTGGCGTAGAGGTGGAAACTGGGATGGGGATGGAGACATGGGAAGGTTGGAGACTTGGGTAGGAGTGGGAGACTGGGATAGGTTTTAGACACTTGGATAGGGGTGGAGACTTGGGTAGGGATGGGAGGCTGGTGTAGGGGTGGACTGGCAGGGTAGGGATGGGAGATTGGTGTAGGGAGGTGGGAGACTGGGTCAGGGATGGATGGAAACTAGGGTAGGGGGTGGAGATTGGCGTTGAGGTGGAAACTGGGATGGGGATGGAGACATGGGAAGGTTGGAGACTTGGGTAGGGTGGAGACTGGGATAGGTTTTAGACACTTGGGTAGGGGTGGAGACTTGGGTAGGGATGGAGGCTGGTGTAGGGGTGGAGACTGGGGTAGGGATGGAAACTGGGGTAGAGGTGGAGATTGGGGTTGAGGTGGAAACTTGGATGGGGATGGAAACTTGGAAAGGGTGGAGACTTGGGTAGGGATGGAGGCTGGTGTAGAGAGGGTGGAGTGTGCGGTGGGGATGGAGATTGGTGTATGTGTAGAGACCAGAGTAGGGGTGGAGGCCGATATATAGATGGAGACAGAGTGATGGGAAATGTGTGGAAATGGGACTGCTGGGGCTTGATTGGGTAGGGGTGGAGGCTGGTAAATAATTAACACTGGGAAAGGTAGAGGTGTGGAGATTATGGTGTAGGCTGGAGTCCAGATTTTGACCAGGGTTGGGAGGCTGCCGCACTATTATTATCACTAGTTCAAGAAACTGTCTTTAGACAACTAAAATGAAAGAATCAACTTCTCCTTGCAGACTGACACCCTGCAACAAGTCTTCAGCAAGCATTTTATAGGTGCTTCCTATATACCCTGAATTACATACCCTCTTTCACTGCCGACAACCAGACAGACATCCATGTCTATTTACTGTATTCTACTAAAACCAACCTGTGATACCCAACACTGTCAGTCTTATGTAAGCCACATGGTCTTTATGTTTGAACATTTAAAAATAAATAGCAGTAACAGAGAGACTAAAACATATAATTAAAGTCTTTTACTAGCAGACATATGTGCTTATTATTTGTCAGTTATGAGTGAAAACTAAAGTATGAGTGAGCTAAAGAGTGAGCTAAAGTACTGTCGGAAATAGAAAAAAACTGTTTTTTGGATGTTACTCTGTATCCCTAAAATTTACACCACTGCATATAGCATGAAATAACGCACATCGGCCTAACTAGGCGTTCAGTGGGATGCGTAATAGGATATCCAGAAAAGCATGTTTACTTGTAAAATCGTGCAAAACTTAACAAAAAAATACGAACATTTGCTGAAAACAATAGATCAGACTATAGATGGCAATTAGGTCATTCAGCCAGGTATGACGACGGACCGTCGACTCACCTGGCATGAAATGCAAGTGCTGCCTACAGGCACAAGGGGTCGTCTCAAAGATATTTTATGCTTTTTCATGTGTGTTGAATATGTCTCATCTATTGATTAACATCTTACTTGTCTTTCTGTCATAAAGTTTATGTTGAGATATGTTAAAAAGTATGATACCCATAGATAAGCTTAAATCAGCCATCGTATTAAATGTCTCAAAATATATAAGTGGCATGACCACCCAAGATCGACAGAACTGGATATCATTTGTAAATTGTTATGACATGCCCTATACTTCCCTAGTTTAATTCCCCTAAAGGATTATCTTATCTTAGCGGATATCTCTCCCATAGGGATAGCTCTCCCATAGGGACATGACTATGGCAAGAACAAGGTGGAAGCAAGAGGGACGTCCCAGAGGCATGCAACACATCTCATTCAAGGAGTACAAGATGAATAAAAACAAATTTAGGAGAGAGATGAGACAGGCTGCAAATAATGTGATATCTCAATGGATGAGTGACCTTGAGAAATCATCTGAACTGAATCAAAAAGCTTTCTGGCACCTGGTGAACCGGAAGTTGAAAGGATCCCGTGACAAAGTGATCACACCAATTCAAGTCGAAGGGGTCACATACAGCAACCCTGATGATGTGCTTGAAAAATGGGCTTATCACTTTGAAACTGTCTTTCAGTCATCAGATAAGCTCTCATTTTTGATGAATGTTTTAAACGCAACATCGAAAAGTCAGGTTTCTGAGATAAGGAAACTGTGCAACGCGGACACATCTGATCCCTGTCATATCACACTTAATGAAGTTGAGGCAGTGTGCAAGAAGCTAAAAAATGGAAAATCAGGTGGAATTGATGGATTAGTATATGAGCATCTGAAGTTTGGAGGAGAACATTAATGCATCACCTGAGCTGTCTATATAACCTTGTCATTCAAACTGGTTTCATTCCACGAGCCTGGAAGCGTAGTGTTATCCTGCCACTGCATAAAGGAGGCGACAAATCAAAGAAAGACCCAAACTGTTATCGCGGTATTTCATTAAGCCCGTAATAGAGAAAGTCTTTGAAATGGCCCTACTGCCTCACTTAAACGCTCTCGCCAGGATAACAATTTCCCTAACAAACAGCAGATGGCTTACCAGGAAAGTCTCTGTTCAACTCACGCTTCGTTCAACCTGCAGGAAACAGTTCAGCACTACCAAGAGCGAGGCAGCCACGTTCATGTGCTATTTCTTGACAGCTGTAAAGCATCTAGACAGTGTGTGGCATGATGGTTTATGGAAGAAGTTGTATGATGGTGGAGTAAAAGGAAAACTGTGGACTGTTATAGACAAGCTGTACCATGATATGGAGAGCTGTGTATTGATAGGTAACACATAATCGAGGTGGTTCACTCTTCAGCAAAGCGCATCGTCAGGGTGGAGTGTTGTCTGCAAGGCTGTATCTGCTGTATATCAACCAACTCTTGGGACGATATTACTGAATCGAAGAAGGGTGCCCTGATTATGGATTTGAACACAGAATGTTCAACTCAAGCCGATGACGTAGCCTTGGTGAGTTCCTGTACCAGTAATCTCAGCTCCCTCCTGAGAATTGCAGAAAACTACAGTAGGTTGTGGTAGAAGCTTCACATTCTCCTCTAGTAAGACTGAGTCGTTACATTTGGGGCTAGCAGAAAATCTAAAGTTGTTGCTGACGACCTCTCTTTATATGGGGGTCTACTACCAACAGTTAACCAAGTCAAACATGTCGGCATTATACTCTCTGACAGGTTTAATTCAATGGAAAGAACACTAGGGCATGTACTAAGATCAGATCCTATGCTTACACAATTTCAAGGAAAGGATTTAATCCATCTCTGGTGTCTCCCATTGTCTGTCTGAAACTGATCCAGAAAGTAGCTCTACCAAAGTGTCTTTTCGGTAGTGAGCTGTGGAACTCTCTCAGTCAGACTGAGATTCTTATGCTTGAACGTTCCTACAGGCATGTCATAAAAGCGATTCAAAGCCTCCCAAAGAGAACTAGGACTGATGTGTGTCTTGGTCTCCTGGGTTTACTACCTCTGGAAGCTGAGATAGATAAAAGAAACTCTTGTTTGCGGAAACCTCATAAACATGAACACATCTTACCTTCCACACCAGGTGTTTCTGACAAGGCTACTGTGCTTTGTTCATGGTGTGTGTGCACAACCCGAGAGGTTTTATTCCTGATCTGATGAGAATCCTCCAGAAGTATCAGTTGACAAATGTGCTAGAAGACTACTTGTCAACTGGCATATTCCCACGTAAGGCTTATTGGAAACAAAGTGTGAAAGCAGCTGTTTGGAAGTTCTATTCACTCGTGGACTGATAGGATTACGGTTGAACCAGATCTCCAGTGGTTCGCACAGATACACAGAGACCTGTGTGTTCATCCAGCATGGACATTGTCACGGGAAGACCACCTGTACCGAACCTCGCCCAAGTTCCTGGTGCAGTTATGTTCCAGCATTAGATACATTAAAGATGCTGTGTACCTGTGTGAGAAGTGTGGACGGTTATATAGTGATCCGTGTGTTCATGCTGTGGAGTGCAGTGTGATAATTTACTCTCTGTGAGAGATCAGCTGTGGTGTGAACTGATCAATATTGGTCCTGTGGACTTCAGTGTATGGTTCTACAACTTGTCAGACATTGAGATGGTGTTGTGTCTTCTGTCATGTAGCCCTCAGTATGGACTTAATGCAGAGGATCAGAGAACATTTACTAGTGTGGCTGTAAGGTACATTCATCTGATGTGCAGAGAAGTCACACAGCACTAAGCAGTGCAGCCAGCTTTCTGAGAGACTCTATTTCACATAACAATGTGACTGTGGCGTAAATATTACCTTTTTGCAACTTGTACTTGTACTCTCCCAACTTGGAGGATAAATAAAGAATATATATCCCCCAGCCTGACCCCTACCACAGTCTGGAACACCCGTCCTGGTTTTGCTTTTGAGACAACCCTTCCTACCTGTTGGTTTTTATAGTGACAGTTTCCAACTCCATGGTAGCTACATCCTTAATAGTTTCAGTATTAAAGTTCTTATTTTTTGCGTCAGCTATCGTTTATAATGAAGCTAAGTCTAATTTCAAAATGGGCATTTAAAAAGTGTCCTCTGTAATACAATATCATCTCACACTTAATTGCATAAAGCCATGGTCTGTTCCAAATAAGTCGCTTTGGACATCGCATTGCTCATTTCTGAGCTACTATCTCCTCAGTCCTTTTTCTACGTTTCCTAACTCGCTACCACTGAGACTGTAGTTAGGCCAAACTTAGTTTAACAGATATTTCACACTTTCACATATTAATTACATTAATTGTAGATATAAATGTGAAAAAAAAACAGTTTTTTTCTATATCTGACAGTACTTTAAGAGCAGAAATGCTATATATACCGCAATTAGACAGTTATGAATGGCAATAATAGCCTCACATCATACCTGGTGTGAATGGGCAACTACTTTCAGATTCAAGAGCTTGTATCCAATGAAATGTAAGAACCCAGATATCACAAGTGAGAACGTTCATTACACTGTAGTTTATGTCGTTGATAAATTGCAAGTTATTCCATTTCACTAGATAGGCCAACCCAGCAATCTTTCACACACTTGTGCTTCCATTAATCAGTACAAAGTGGGCCATAGCCTAAAAGAAGGATGTTTTCTGATTGGCTGCAAATAGGAGGTGATATTATCATTGTTGACATTTAATGCCCCATAAACATACAAAAATTGAAATTAGTTCCTAATCCTGCAAGTCATCAAAACACAATGACTAAACCGCTGCTTGTGATGCCATGCATATTACTGTTATATTCAGAACACTGTCATACTCATGGAGTACTGTACAGCATTGCATACATAAAAAACAAGTGGTTGCCAATAATATGGCAATGTCCCCCGCTGCTAAATAAGAATGAAATATTTATAACATATTTACTACTTTTTATTTTTTGGTCACATACAAGAAATGACTGGTGTCTGCATAATCACCCAATGTAGGCTGTTGACATAATTGAAGACATTAGGTGCAACGTGTTATGAGAGATCGCATTTACATAAGTTTGAAAAGTGGTCAAAGTGTTGCGATGACCTTGAAGATATCGTCACGGTCACCAAAATCGACTGGTGTCTGCGTAATCCCCCAATGTTGGCTGTCACCAAATATTTGAAGACATTGGGTGCGACAATTCATGAGATATCGCGTTAACAAGAGTTTGAAAAGTGGTCAAAGTGTCATGGTGACCTTGAAAATAAGGTCAAGGTCACCAAAATCGACTGGTGTCTGCGTAATCCCCCAATGTCATCTGTCACCAAACATTTGAAGATATTGGGTATGACAATTCATGAGATATCGCGTTAACAAGAGTTTGAAAAGTGGTCAAAGTGTCATGGTGACCTTGAAAATAAGGTCAAGGTCACCAAAATCGACTGGTGTCTGCGTAATCCCCCAATGTCGGCTGTCACCAAACATTTGAAGATATTGGGTATGACA